CCCCGCGCGCGCTCGCCCGCCCGCCAGGAGGGGTGCTCCAGCCCTGCGGGCAAGTTCTCCAGCTCCTTCGCCATAGACAGCATCCTCAGCAAACCCTTCCGCAGCCGCCGCGACGGGGAAGTGGCCCCCGGGGCGCGGCTGCCATGGGGAGCCTCGCCCTGTCCGCCGCTGCCCACATATCCCGCGCTACTCCCCGGAGCCTCCGGAGGGGCTCTGCTGCCGCTGTGCGCTTACGGTGCGACCGAGTCGGCGCTGCTGGGCGCGCGCGGAGCAGACGCGCAGTCCGCCGTGCAGCCCGCCGTGCCACCCGCCGCACCTCACCTCCTGCTCGCGCCCCTCTCCGCCTCGGCCCCAGCCAAGCCATTTCGAGGCCCGGCGGCCGGCGGCGGCGCGCACCTGTACTGCCCCCTGCGGCTGCCCGCGGCCCTGCAGGCGTCCTCGTCCTGTGGCCCCGGCCCGCACCTTCCTTACCCAGTGGAGACGCTCCTGGCCTGAGCAGCGCCGCGGAGCCAGGCAAGGGTGGGCGCTGTCGGGGAGGCAGGAAACGCAGGCCAGGGCTTTGCATTTTCTAGCCAGACAAAAAAAGACGTTAAAAAAAAATCTCCATCAAACGTGCCTTAAAGCTAAAGCATTTTTGACAGAAGTGTTTTAATTTAATTCAGAATATTTTCCTTCTTCTTTTGTGACTTTACAGAAGACCAAACCAATTCTCCATAATTGTTTTAGGTTCTTGACCAAGCCTGTCCCTCCCTCACTTCACAAAGACTTTTCCTATCTTCTTACCCCCCTTACCCTTATTCCTATCTTTGTCGCACCCTCCATTGATTTGTCCCTTAAAAAAAAAAAAAATCAGGGAACCATTCCATATGATAAATGATATGACTACTGTTTGGGGTTTAATGGCCCCCGCTCCATGTAATTATGTGGCATTTACAGGCATGACTGAGTGTGAGAGAGGTGTCAGAGAATCTTCAGTCATTTCTCTGCTATTGACCAATGCTTCACTGTGCCAAAAGATTAAAAAAAAAAAAAGTTGGGTTTTGTAATTAAATTATTTATATATTTTTGAGGCCTGAGTTGAAAATGTTGCAGGCAACGGGCTACAGCTTTATTAGTGGTTCGGTGATCTCTAACTGTGGTCTCCTTGGGCCAAGCAATTTCTTTAAAGGAAAAGTTAGCATTATGTATGTGGGGTGCCAGGACCACTGCCACGTGAAAGCAAGTGTGATTTTTATTTTTAATATTATTTTATTTGTGTCTGTACATATTCATGTATAAATTTTATGAAACCCAGGCATAGTGCTTATTTTTAATAAAATTCACAACTGACTTTAGCACTTTGTGGTGGTGGGTTGAAGATGGAGAGTTTTTTACATTTCCCACACCCTGCCCCGCCAAGAAAATGGGTTCAGGTTTGACTCTCAAAAAACTTCCTATGGGGGTCAAAAAATTTCTTGAGTCACTCAATAAAGGTAGAGGCAGAGTGCAGGTTTCCTTACCTAATCAATCGCCCTACAAATCTCCAGGATGGGACTTCTGTCAACGTGATTTCTTTAAACTTCGAGCCGGTGACCTCTATGAGAACTCACACAAGAGTTACCAGAACAAATGATAAGGTGTGTGCCCCTCTCCTACAAGAATCCTTTAGCGGACAAATTGAGCTATTAGCAAGCTTATAGTCGAGCAGACATTTCTAAGTAAATTGGTTCTGACTTGGAGCTCAAAAAGCTGGAAACAATCTTGGCATAAGACTATCCTAATACACTGAAGATTTCTTCAGGGCAGTTTTAAAAGCAACTTGAAAGTCAGTGGTTTTTGTCAGAATGAAACGATCTACCTTTTTAGGAATGCAAAAGTTAATTTGTTTATGAACCAATCAGTAGTATTCTTTTTTCACTCTCTACTTCCATATGAGGATAGCATTTCTAGAGGTGGAGCTGCCAGGCCTATTTCTCTTGAGATCTGAAGAGAAAACACCACCTCAGATGGGCAAAGACAATTTCTCATGGTAAAAAGGGAAGGTTTTGATCAGAGGAAGTACCAGAAAACAGTGTGAACACCTGTTCAGTAAATTCAAAGGCAGTGGGGCTCTAACAGTTTATGGATTGCAATATTCTAAAGACTGATGCAAAGAACAAGAAACTCAGAATCTAGAAATGTAGGCCCCGTTGTTGTTCCTGCAGTTCTTCCCTAGATCTCATCTCATTTAAGACAAGAGGATGATTTAGGGTTTACATAGTGTGAGGTGGGGAAAAGAAAGTGGAATTTGTTTCAGGATGCTTTGGACAGAAATGGGGGGTATAGCCCAACTGCAAGTCTAGTAACAAGTCTTGACAGATTTTGGTTATATCTATTTAGTAGTCAATGAAGAGTGATAATAATAGGGTTGAATTATGACAAAAGGTAGACATTGAAGTGGAGATTTGCACCCACATGGCCAATAATTAGACCAAAAAATAAAACAAATGGAATAGGGCAAAGGGTGAGGGCAACAAGTTCACTGAGTTGAAAATATCAGGACTCATATACTCAATCCTTTGCTTTTTCCCTTGAAAACACACTCTGATTAAAGGCAAGCAAGGAGTCAGACACTTGAGGTGCTTCTGAACTTCAGCAGACCATTTCTCTCCAACTCTGTGCCTTGCCTCCAGAAGCAAGGTGCTGCCTACTTTTTTTTTTAATATTTTATTTATTTACCTGACAGACATAGCAAGAGAAGGAACACAAGCAGGGGGAGTGGGAGAGGGAGAAGCAGGCTTCCCGGGGAGCAGGGAGCCCGATTCGGGGCTGGATCCCAGGACCCTGGGACCATGACCTGAGCTGAAGGCAGACCCTTAAGGACTGAACCACCCAGGCGCCCTGCTGCCTACTTTTAAATCAGTTTTGGAAAGCCACAATTTTCATTTCTACATTGATACATGAAGTCAGGTCTGCAAATGGAGATTTTAAATAGCAGTTTATTTATTTATGTTAACAAAGACAGGGCAATGTAAAAGAGGCAAAGGGAAAGGTGATTTAAAAAGAAATCAAAGTTATTCTCCCCTCTCTTGAAAAAAATCCTTCCTTCCTAATGAACACTCCGGAGTCCCGCTGACGGGGTCCCCTCCCTGGCTTCTGGTTCCCTTCGCTGTGTCCCCAGGTACTGTAAGGTTTTCTAGAGAATGGTCAGAGGCCCTTGAACTTTGCGTCCCTGTACGACCTTCCACGACCATCTCCAAGCTCCTACTCCCAAGACCGACCCCCCCCCGGGGGGGGGCAGGATGTGGAGGGATGGAGGGACCTGTGGCTCAGTCACCGCCTCTTTGCCTCTCCTTCGCACTCCCCAACCTCTCCCTGCTGGGCCTGAAGAGGTCCCAAGGAAAGGGAACCGCACAAGCCCTGGTTTTCGAAATGAAAGTGGAAAGTTGCAAGGACGCTTTTAGTTCAGGCTACACTACAGCCCCACGGGAACCGCACCTCGCGGAGGAGACTCGGGCCCTCAGCGACCAGGCTCGGTCCTGCTCTCAGGACCCCGGCCTGGGCTGCAGCCTCGGCGGTGTGACCCCGCCAAGACTATCCCTTGTGGCAATGGCCAGAAAACCGGATTCCTCGGCGGCGCCAGAGGAACGCTCCGAGCACGGCGCGTTCGGTGGGCCTAGGGCTGCCTGTTCCTCCGCCTGCGCCAAGTCCACCTCCCTCCCACGGCCCGTCCTTCCTCCAGCTCGCCCCTTGCCGGCCGAGGGGGCCCCGGCCCACCTGTGCAAACACCCGGCCGCTAAGCGCGCCGACCCTAGGGTGGGGGTGGGAGTCTGTTTGGTTTGGGAAACGCCCTTTGATATCTGTCAAACCTGCCCTGAGCCAGAGATGTGGGCGGAGGGCTCCATGGGTCAATTTTCAAAGATCCCCTCTTCTGCGTTGGCACTTTGCAGTCTCTTTTCTCCTCAACCCTTCACGGCTCAGAAGAACCTCTCTTTTCTCCTCACCCCTTCACGGCTCAGGAGAACTACGTGGGCAAATGCGGGGAGAGAAGTGCACAACCGTAAAGCCCGGTCCAGCTGGGCCTCCTCTTGTCTGCCTTCCCCACAGCCCGGGATCAAGTCCGCCGCTTTGGGGAGCTGAAAAATTCTCTGCGAAGCGACACACAACATCCTCATAAATCTAAAATCCGCTTCCTACTGTAGAATCTGAGTCTCCTAAATACAGGAAGCAAGGGGCTGGGTGGTGCAGGGGCCGTGGTCGTGTGCCCGGAGGCCCACATTCCACCACCTCTTTGCCTGTAGTTGAGCCTGGGCAGTGAATAACTTCAGCCATCCCTGGCGATGGCTTACTCCAAGCCTCTTAGCTTACGGATAAGCAGCCTAACTAAAGCTCCTTGTAGAATTGCAAGTCAGTTTCTTGATCCCATAGGAATTCTCAAAAAAAAGAAAAGAAAAAGAAATCAGAGAAAAGTCTCATCCCCAGCTGATGGACAGGGTCTCCTCTATGAGCACCCCAGGGTTGACCTTGCTGAGCTGGAAGCATCCTTAAGGAGAATTACCTATGCCTACTCTGGTTTCACTGTGGCACAATTTCACAAACTTGGCATTTATCTGCCCCAGGGAGTGTGTGTTCACACACAAAATACTGAGTTAAATTCATTGACTCCCTTAGGTAGACCCCTAATTTTATAGATGCGAAAACAGGCTGAGTAGCTTAAGCACTCCTTCTGGCAGACCCTGATGAGAACCAAGATCCAACTCCCAGTTCAGAATTCTTTCCCCTGTAACACAATTATCTGGATAATTCAGACCAAAACATACTTTGGCGTGAGCTGAATTGAACTATTCAGATAATTGTCTCAAGCCACTTTTATTACAATGGTAGGCAGATTTCTCAAACTGGTAGGTAGTTTCTTTCATTACCAAGAACCCACCACCACCACCACCATAATTGTCCTTTTCTGGAAGAAACCATGTCCACTCCTCACCTGAGAGACTTGGATGTGAATTGTCTTAGACACCTTAGCTTTAATGTATAGATAGATTAGATAGATAGATGGCTACCACAATGGAATTTGGCAACTGCTTTTTCTCTCCCTTCTGCAGAGTGCCAAGAGCTTACCCCTACTGAAGGTAGCAAGCTCAGTTCTGTGCTGAGAAAGAAGGATCTCTAGAGGACGCAGAACCTGCTTTCCGGTGACGAGCACTAATAGGTGGGCACTCCCTGATGCACACCTCTCCTACTTTTCCACACCAGGCCCCAAATAACAAAAATGGCCCCTTTCCCACATGAGAAAGAAACTAGAACTTCTTATAATCATTTGCCTTCCATTTTTAGTTTTAAAAAATGCCATCTCAATCCAGCACATGACTGACAACTTTCTTAGATATTAAGGGACTTTGTTGGCATCAAACACACAAGGATATTGCTCCTCTGTTTTACTATTTTTTTTTTTTAATTTTACATCAGGAGAAGCTGAGCTTTGCCTTGGTTCCAGAAATTAGACCCCGAAGAGTCCTTCAGTAAATATTTCCTGCTTTCAAACACCACAATATTCCTCTCTTAAGTAACAGACTTTATAGTTCTCTAATGAAACCATTAAACTTTTGTTATGTTTTAACAACATAATTTGTTAATTCTTAATGTTGTCAACAAATGGGCCTAATAAGTATCTTCTAAGAAGATCATGATCAAAAACATAAAAATGTAACTCTCCCCAGATTCGAGGTCCTTTTTCAAATTGGCAAAGATTCCAATGTCATGAAATGCTGGTTGTTGTGCGATAGTTTCTACACTGTATCTGTTCGGCATTATTAAGATGGATGGGTGATTAGAAGCAAATGTTGTTCCTGTCGTTTGCCAACTTACACACAGACTGGAAGAGAGAACTGTATTGACCTTCATTTTTGGTGAACTACAGCCAAACATAAACATTAACATAATGCCACATTTCCCTTACCACTCCTGGACCCTCTTTGCAGCTCTTTTCAGGAAAAGTTTAACTTAGAAGACTTGCCATAACTGAGCCTTTTTATCACATCTGTTTGAAGCCCAAAATAATACACATATTCAACATCCTTGACATGTATTTGTTGTTTCTGACCACCAATTTCTAACCATTAAGGGAAAAGGTAGAAAAGTTTCCCAACCTTTGGCTGGCTGTGCTCACTGTAGTTACATGTCTGGTAATGCTCAAAATCACGAAAGTGGTCAATTCAAGAAAGAACTCAGAATGCAAACTCAAAGAAGACCTGAGTCTAAATTCTGGCTCTGTCTCTCACAGCTGTGTGACCTTGGGAAAGTGGGTTCATCCCGCTAAGCCTCAGTAGGACAAGGGGATTGAGCTGGAACATACCATAGTTTCCAGCCATGAAAACTTGTATAGAAT